GATGGTCTGGGTGGAATTATAGAAATTATTATATGCTCAAAAACCAAAGAAATTCACCTACACATTCATAGTGCCAGGTCATCTAAATGTTGCAATTTGGTGGTCACTGTCTCAAGGAAGGATGAACAAAATGAAAATATCACTGCAGCAAAATGCACAAACTTAAGGTTCTGGTGCAACAGTAGGAACCCTACCTTGACTAACTTTTTTAGGAGCAGGGACACGATTAGGCCAAAATGTTGTGCAGGATAGGTGAATTGGCTGTGGTAAATTACCCATGGTGTCCAGGATGTGCAGGCTAAGTGGATTAGCCATGGCAATTACAGGGTTACAGGGATACAGTAGGTGAATGGGTCTGGTTGGAATCCTCTTTGGAGGGTCAGTATGGCCCAATAGGCCAAATGGCTTGCTTCCAGACTGTAGGTATTCTACAATTCTATAATTCAGCTCCTTGAGCCTGTTCCGTCATTCAGGGAGATCGTGGTGGATCTATGACTTAAATCCATATTCTTGCTTTTGGCCTATATCCCTTTTCCAACCCAATCTTGAAAAGTTTCCCTATGATCTTTAACAGTGCCCACATATTACTGTCCAAGGGTTTCTTCAAACAGTTTTGGTTCGACAGATTAGAGAAATATTCTGCCTTTTGCCTTCAGGAATAAAAATGGGAGAATTAACATGAGAGTAAAGCTGTATTCAACTTCTCTAGGTCTTCTGAACTTTGTGACCTTATGAAGTTAAGATATAGATTAATATAGCCAACAGTAACAATTGCTACTCACAACATGCAACTCATTGGAGATACAAAGATATGAGTATATGAACGAGGAGTAGGCCATTCAGTCCCACTAGCCACTCTTCCACTCAATAAAATCTTGGCTGATATAATTGTGACCTCAACTCCAAATTCCCACCTACTCCTGATAGCCATTCATTCCATTGTTAAAAATATTGACCAAGGACCCTGCCTCTACTGCTCTCTGGTAAAAAGTTACTAACACTCATGTTCCTGAAAGAAAATAAGTTCCTCATAAACTGCATTTCCTAGTTCTATTGTCTTGCAAAAAGGAAACATCCTTTATCATCCACACTTCTAAGGGTAACAGAACCTCCCATTCTTCTAAACTCCACTGGAAAGAGGCCCAGTTTGTGCAATCCTTCCTCATAAGATAATCTTCCCATCCCAGAAATTGATCAAATGATCCTTCTCTGAACTGCCTCTAACACATTTACATCCTTAAGTAAGAAACCAAACTGTACAGAATACTCCGACTGTAGCCTTACTGATGCTGATGGTAGATGTCCACACTTGTACGTTCTATTCCCCTTTTCATAAATAGCAACATTCCATTTACCTTCCTAATCACTTGCTGCATCTGCATTTTAACAAAACTTGGGATCACATGGGATAGCCACCACCTTCCCCTTTCTTTTACAAAAACTAAAATATGGTAGCAACAGATTATTTTGTATAAGTTAAAACTACTTGTTTAAATAAAAACTGAAAGAACTGTGGATGCTGTAAATCAGGAACAAAAACAGAAGTTGCTGGAAAAGCTGAGAAGAGTTCTGAGGAAGAGTCACCGGACCTGAAATGTTAACTCTGATTTTTTTTTCACGGATGCTGCCAGACCTGCTGAGCATTTCCAGCAACTTCTGTTTTTGTTCCTACTTGGTTAATTTATTTAAATAGTAAATAAATTTAAAAAGTCATTACCAAATCAAATGCATAGAGATGCTGAACTGGTGTAACATTTTAAAACTAAGTCAGAATGAATTTTTTTTTTCTTGTCTGTGTAATTTTAAAAAATCAGTTATTAACATGACCTTTTATTTTCCTTTTCTATAAAGTTAGGTGAGGTAAATTGGAAGTGTGTGTGTGTGTGAGCGTGCATATGTGGGCATGGGTGTGTTCCAGAACCTGAGCATTTAAAATAGCTAAGATTTAAGGTAACTGGCAAAAGAACCAGAGGGAAGATTAGAATAATTTTCTTTGTCATGCATTATGTGATCTGGAATTTGTTGCTTGAAAGGGTAGGTGAAGCGGCTCTATTCATAATATTTCAAGAGTGAAATAAATAAATAGTTAAAGAGAAGTTATTTGGAGGGCGACGTGGAAACTCCTGGGGAGTGGATGATTCTGTGAAACAAAAAGTTCAAAAATGAAAAGCTAAAAGATAAAAGCCTTTTGATGAAAGCATCATTTCAGATGCAGTGCAGATGATGCATGTGTCAGCTCATCTATAGAGCTTGAACAGAACTAAAGACTAGAGGAGAATTTCCTGTTCTAAGCCTTCTGCAGTCAGGGCTGTCGATCATTTATTATTAAAGGTACAGTGCCAGAATTCTTGGAAATACTGTGAGCAAGTAATCGTTTTATGTGGTTTATGAATGCATGTTAAATGCATCATTTAATAGTTAAAAATAGATCTGACTTTAACTTTAGCAATTTCAAGACTGTACAAAATAACAAAAAACAGAAATAATCATGTTTTGTTACAATGAGACCGAATAAGGCAAATTGACCTCTTTTGCTAATGAATCCTTCTCTAAAATGATTAAGTAGAATTTATGTTCCCATAACAATGTCAGCTGAGAACTGGTGATATTTCAATTTATATCTTTTTCTTTAAAGAAATAGGCTACTATCAGGAAGCCATACAGTCGAGCATCTGCCTCTTCTCCTTTTCGATAAGACTTGCTTAATTGAAAGGAGTAATATGTAAACTTGGAATGTAAAGCTTGGCCTGTACAGGAAGGAAAGGTTAAAAGAGTCAATGGGTTCCACAGTCTTGATGTCCAGGAGAAAATGTAGAAAGGGTTTGTTATAGTGAAGCTTGTTTTCAGTAGCACAAAGCAAGGAGAACAAATAAGGTAGTGCACTCAGAACCCAGGAGGAATCAAAAAGGACATTTCAGAGTAGCGTCGGGAGAGACAAGAAAGTTTGCAAACATTAATTCTGTGAATATATCCTCAGCAAGCTTGAAATGATGTCAAAGGCCCATCAATGAATCGAGCTTGCAGAATGAGAAAAGAGTCCAGCTGTTTATTTCTTAGTGAAACTCATTCTAGTAATTACCTTTAAGATGCTGTTTGTTTGAATTTGAGGCCTGATCAAAGTTCAAATCATTGCAAGATGCAAGGAGAACCTCTGTGTTGTCACTATCCACTGAAATAGGAGAGGTGTTGCTTGTAGCTCGGTTTTTATCTTCATCTGTGGGCAGAAAACACAGTAGTACTGTCAGGGTCATACAGGTAGCCTGATTTAACCCTGCCAGTGTGCAGCCATGCTTAATTCAATTTCTCATCAAAAGTATTCATTAAAAGGCTCAAAGGACTCTATTGCCTTCTACTGCTCCCGTTCTTATGTTATGTTCTTTGAATGCTTCCTTTTTTCATTCATTCATGGATGTGGGCATTGCTGCCTGGCCCAGTATTTATTCCCATCCTAGTTGCCCTTGAGAAAGTGGAAGTGAGCTGTTTGTTCTGTTCTTCTTAATGCTGCTTTATTTTTTCCTTCCTGTGATCTCCGAAACTCAATTAAAGAAATATCAGTTCTGGAAAACTAATTTCACCTCAATTCACCCATCACTATCCTGGCAGATTTGCCCACAAATGACCAAATGCTAGAGTTGTCTTGCACTTTGGAAACTGTAAATGTAAATTTTAATAAGTATGACACCAGACTGCAACTCCGACCTAGCTATAATTGGTTAAAATAATACGCCTCCTCCTTTCCACTCATGTATTATACTGCACATAAAGAAGGCTTAAAAGATGCAAGTTAATTTTCTGTGAACAACTTTACCTGCTGTTCTAGCCTTCAAAACAGTACTAACTGATGTTAAGCAACATTAATTTACCGTCCCATGTTTGTAGCCTTTGATCAAAGGTCACTCGCTCACTCGATTTGTTTGAACTACTCCTCTCTTCAATGTTGAAATATTCAAATCTGCACAACAATTTTGAAAATAAATCAAGATAGTCAGTAAATTTGTCCACAAAGTAAAATAAACAATTTACATCATCCTCATAAGGGAGTCGAGCACAATCCTGTCTGGCCTTGATGTAGCAATAGCATATCTGAAGGGACAGGACACTTAGGCTGATACTGTGTGCAGACTTATCCACTTACTCTCCCACTACTCTCAAGGCACTGCCAACTGAACTCAGTTCTCAGATATGAGCTGACAGGAGCCCAGTTTTTTGCACTCTGTCCAAAAAGAGAGAACGACAATCATCCTTTAATCAACATTAAGAGGCACCCAGAGTAAGAGCTGGGGAGAAAACAGGAAAATGGAAGTGGTAATTTGAGAACTGTGGGTTACTTTTTAAGTTCCTGACCCACACTCAGTCAGAGAGCCTGGAAACCTTTGGAAATCCTAGATGTTTCAGCAGCTTGTTTATCAGTGGTTTTTTTTAATGTAACCACTGCGTCTGATTTCTGGGTTTCCTGCCGAATTGAAGGCAAAGATGGATCAGTCTATTTCAGCTTAAAAGGAGCCGGCTGAAAGCACGTTGGAAGTATAACAGATCCTTCCCAATAGGGTAAGAGGCTGCAGAACTGGAGACACAAATTACCAAGGCAAAAGGACGATTCAGCACTTCTCCAGACTGAAAAAGGAAATCAGTCTCTGAAAAGAGGCATTCATGTACACTTACTCTCCCTTCCCAAGCCCTTAACTGCAGGTTGTTTCTGATACCGATACACCTAGCACCCATCCCTCTGTATTGAGACACCTCCTCGCATCCAACAATGCCACACAGCTACAACTCATTGCAGGGTTACACCTATCCCCCTCCCAGTGATCTTCCATACATCTTTCCATGCTCTCAAAAACTTTCTACTTTGAATGTTCTTGCGTCTCCTCCTTGCTTTCCTTCTTGCAGGTAAACAGCACAGAACAAGAGAGGGGCAAAAATCAGAAGCAATGCTTGAGAAATCTCTACTTTGGCACCTACAGAAGTGGTGATGAATACAAGTCAGTTTTAGTATTTTTATGCCTTTGACAATGCAAGGAATGAGTTCTCCCAGCTACTTAGTGATAGAATTTAACGTCATCGAGCCAAGTGACATATAACACTCAAACATGTTGACTGAATGTTAGAAGGCCATATTATTCCAGCAATATGGGATACTGACACTCAACGTGCCAGTTCTAGAAGCATGGAAAATAGGAGCAGGAGTCAGCCATTTGGCCTTCACACCTGCTCTGCCTTTCGATATGATTATAGTTGTTCATCCAACACAGTACCTTGTTCCTGCTTTCTCCCATTCCCTTTAGCCCTAAGAACTGTAACTAACTCAGGTAGTTCTAATGTGGGTCTATCGTCTCTTACAGATCTTTAGAGCTGGTGCCGGGGGAATATGAAGATTCTTCAGAGGATGTCACTCACTCTGATGCGACGCATCATACCACCCTCCAGCAGCTGGAATATCACATGGAGAGGCACATTGCACAAGCAAAGAGGAGCTAGTGCTGGAGGCAGGTAGACCAGTTGGGAATCTCTGTTGGATAGTGCAGGATCCTCCAAACATTGCTTTGCTGAAAATAGACACTGCACCCCCAGGGCTATTGATACAGTGGACAATTCTGGAGCACAGTTTGACTTGTGCAGGATGAAAATCCAATGGCAGCTCCTGGGAAATGTGCACACACCTGCACAATGACCTTTTTGGCTGCAGATGAGCTCAGCATTGTCAAACACGGTATTGGTCACATGCAACATGCAAATGAAATGATTCTAGAAATGTTACCAGCAGATTCCTGGACATGCCAGTCAAAAAAATTAAAGGCTTTGATGAGACAGTCATTGGACTTTGCAGGCTAACCCCATCTACTTGGAAGGAGGCTGCAAACATCAGAAACCACTGGACAGTAAGCTCTCAGCTTCCAGAGGTACTGGTGCTCTCTCACATCTAGGCATCTTATCCTCTGCCTTTATACGTACTTTTTGTTGCAGTACCAACAACTGGCAGCTTGTGGTCATGGTAGTATGCTGCCGTATAAACCACTACCAAGTCTTAACAAGAACAGGCACTTGTCTCAACAGAAAGATGTAGATCATTGCATGAAAGCAATAGGTACAACTTACATTAACTAGGTCAGCATAATTGACAGGAAGTGTGGATGACATTGGAACCTTGTGCTCAAATGCTTCTTCTCCACCCAAAGACTATGCTATGTCCTCAGATTGGTTTAACTTAATGCATCATCACTGTTAATGCCTTTGGAACCATAACCTTATATCATAATATCCTACACTGACAACCTTCATCCGCTGTGAACTGGATCTCTGTGTTCAGTCCTCGTCTTCGTACGGCAATAGCTGAGGGAAAAGCTACCATTGTTCTTCATTAGAGGTCCACAGTAGAGCTTTTTAAGCCCTCCCATGCTGATTTGAAATCCAACCTTTGGGAAATACAGATGCAAGGTAGGAGCTATGATGTCCAAAGTGGGAAAATTACATAGCTGCAAATCTTGTAAACAAAATGCCTTTCATTTAGAAAAGTATTTAAATTGTAGCTTGCTTGTCATTTGCCACTTCACCTTGAAGTCCCTGGTGATTTCTGGGAAACTTATGCACTCACCCTTAATGTCAGAACCATTGTTAAAGAAGTAGGTTGTGAGCAGTCAACATGTTTCAATAGGTCGTGCTACCCTTTCCATATAGGTTCCCTCTGTGCTGAACTCAAAGGTAGAAGTCAATAGGTTCCTCCTAGCTCCCTAACGCACTGATAATTTCAAACCTTGAATTTGCTGCCTACACACAAACCCATCCAACTTGCCTGGTCAAAATTCTTCCTTTCTCTCCACAAGGCCATAGCATTTTAACAGACTATCGTCCCATAAACAACATTAACAAGTATGTTCTTTCCTTACTTGAACTGTGAAGACAGAGATGCTCCTTGTGACTGGAATGGAAGAGAAGACATTTTCTGTTGGGCAGTTTCCTGCTCCTTTTTAGGTAGATCCAACTTCTTTGCAGATATTGTACCCCTACCTGGAAATCGAAACACATGTAAATTACTCACCAAAAGATGAGTGGCAATCCAGAAAGCTAAAACAGTGAAAATGTAATAATACAAATCCAATTCCGTCAAGTCACAACCTTTTTATGCCCGGGATGTAAATCTTTAATGTTAGTTTGTAGTTCAAAGCACTAAATAGCCTACAATTAATTGTGAAATTAGTGCATTGGATACATGTAGTACAAAGTGAAAAACACATCAAAACAAATCAGAACTTTGAATACAAGACATAACTCGGCTTATACTCAGAAAATTATTTTCAACCATGTATAGCTGACCACATCAAACATGTACCTTGAAATTGGACTTGTTAAAAATCTTTCAACAGAATTATCAACTCATTTACATAAAGTACAAGGGTATTTCACACACAACCAGCAAGCAACACAGCATCCTGACTTGGAACCAAATCACCATTCCTTCACTGTCACCAGGTCAAAATCCTGGAACTGCCTTCCCAATGGCACTGTGCGTGCCCCTACACATCAGAGACTGCAGTTGTTCAAGAAGGCAGCTCATCACCACCTTCACTAGGGCAATTGGAGATGCGCAATAAATGTTAGCCCACTCAGTGATGTCCATATCCCGTGAATCAATGAGAAAGAAAATTGCCCATAGGTTTGAATATTTGAAAAGCTAAATCCTGTAGAAAGTTATCCATTAGCCACATGCCTTAATTGGACATATTTCTTTCTGTGTTAGTGTCCTGGACAGTTGACAATGCATCTAAATTTTGATAGTCTCCTGTTTTTACTAATAGCAGAGACATTTTTGTCTGGAGCACATTTTTTAAAAAAAAGTAATGTAGAGAAGTTAAATCATACTTGCATTTAATTAAGTTTGAGATGGAAAATTTGCCTATGAACTATGAATTTGCCTATATACTTGCAATGCATTTATCTGTGATGTCCAGTGCTCCCCAGCACCAACACCATCATTCTTCAATACATTTAATGTGTTGATTTCACATAAAAATAACAAAGCTAAAATTTGTTAACAGTTAGCTTGCATCAGTTCATAGAAACTTCCCAGAATTTTCTAATGTATCTGGTACTTATTCTGAGTTCTGTTTATAAAAATATATTCATATTTTAATACATGTCAATAATTCAGTAATTACAAACCGCTCAATGCCTAAACTGGACATGAGAGATGATATGACCAATTTGATAGCTGGTGGATAAGACAGTGGCCCAGGCCCTTTATACAGTCCTGGTATATAGCAAGTTAACTGATTTCAGCCTTGGCAGCAGGCAGATTTAAAATTGGCCAAGCTTCCTGTTGTTGATAATCTAGTGATATAAACTACACAGTGCATGTGTGGAAGTTGGAGTGAACTGAATCGAGTTTGGCTATGATGTCATTAGCATCTTGGCTCATAAATAATAAGTAATCAACTTGAGTAAGATTCTAAAGCTGTGTGGAATGTTATAAACAGATCAGAAGTGATGCTTTCAGGAGAGGAGGGAGCTATTAGGGTTAAAAATGAACAATTAAGAGAAGAAAATTAGATTAACGCATTAGATTTTTAAAATAGATTTACAAACAGTAATCTGTTAATACCATGTTCAATATTGCCCTCGCTCCTGTAATGTTTAAAGGTACAACTGCCAAGCTATCGTTACCAACGAAATTTCCCTTGTCACTTTAATGTAATATGGACACAAGGGAAAGAATTTTCACTTTTATATATATTTTTATCACAATATTCTGTTATCTTTAAGCACTTCAGATTTAATTAATAACTTTACACATCACTATTATTGCACAAGCAAATAAGACAACCAATATGTTCATAGCAAGATCTCATAAACCACCAGTATGTAAATACTTCTGGTGGTGAAGGCTAAAGGAATGATAGCTCAGAAATCAGGATCTCAGATGTAGGTAATAGTATGGCATCTTATTACAGTGGATCTTTTACAAAGATCTGACAGTGATTACCAGCAACGCTCGATCAGTACAGAAATGTCAGGCTAAATTGCCAGTTCAAGTTTGCACTGGTTAGTTAACTCGGTTGGCTGGATTATACTGCAAAGTAATGTCAACAGTGTGGTTTCACTTCCTGCAGCGGCTGAGGTTACCACGAAGGACTCTCTTTCACAACCTCTCTTCCCTTGCCTGAAGCATGGTACCTCTCAGGTTAAACCACCACCATCTCTTTCTGATGAGTGAGCAGCCCTGTGGGCTGGTAAGACTGTGGCAACTTTACTGCGTGAATGTGGAATTTCTAATTCAGGGGAATCAATCTATTGTAATGACCTTAATGACACAAAGCAAGAAACAGATAAAGCCAGTCTGTTGTAAAGCCAAGAAGTAATGTTCAAAACTAACAAACATTCCTAATCTACTTTGTACCAAGCAGTTATAAAAAGTCAGCTGTGGGTTGCTGCTAACAAGCTTATTCAGAGTTTCAGTCCAAAATTTGAGTAGAGAATCCAGTTGGATATGGCAATATAGTAATGAGGAAGGGTTGAGTTGTTGAAGCTGCATTTGAAAGCTACATTTCTTTTCTTCAGTGAATGTAAAGGATCAGATGGCATTAATCCAAAGAAGTGCAGTGGAGTTCTTTGTACTTTCGACTATCCTGACCAACATTCATTCTTCAACTAACACCATTAGGAAGGAGATGCTCTGCTCATTATTATGTTGCAATTTTTGGGAGCTTGCTGTGCACATGTTGGATGCCATGTTTCCAGTATTACAATGGTGGTTACATGTCAAAGACACTTCATTGGTTATAAAGCTCTTTAGGATGTACTCAGATCATGGAAGGTGATACATAAATGCAAGCTGTTTCTATTAAGTCCAAGATAATGTTCCACGAACTGCAATTATAAACATTCTCAATCCTGTTCTGTAAAGGTTTGTGGGCAATTTTTAGTGAAGATTTCAGTATTTCAGAGAGATTCTGAGATGGTTGCATAATAAATTCATACCCCTTTTGGCAATTTCAACCTTCTTTTTCTTGAAGTTTTTCTTTGAGAGCCATTCCCGCTGTTGCTTGAAATCCCATAGCACTTCCTTCAATTGACGGTTTTCTTCAACAAGTTTATGGTTGACTTCTCTAAGCTTTCGGGACTCATTCCGTAATTGATGGATTTCATCCAATAAGCCAAAAGCATCCTCCTCCAAAGTAAGTTGGGATGGATGGTAATGCAATCTGTTAATCTGAGAGTGTTAGAACCAGAGTAAATCAGAGGGCCATCCTGATCAACTACATATCGGCATACCAGTCACTGAATAGTGATGTACAAACTGCTGATGTTATTCATTGACATGTATACTACCATATAAAGCATTTCTGATTAGGTGCTCTGAGGTTTATGCCTGTTATCAGATATTTGTACTTGTTGGTTTCCCAGCACATTGGGAGGAATTTTGCCTTCACCCACCATCAGATTTGCAGCTCGGGGTAAGTAGGGCACTTAGTAGCCCCTTGGTGGCCTTCCCAACAACTTAAGATGGTCAGCTAAGGATAGCAGATTTAAAACCGAGATGAGGAAGAATGACTTCTCCTATAGGGCATATATCTGTGGCATTCGCTACCCCAGAGTGCAGTAAGCACCAGGACACTGAATAAATTTGAGGGGGAGATAGACACATTTTTAATCAATAACAGGTTAAAGGGTTATAGGGAGCGTGTGGGAAATTGCTGTTGAGGCTAAAATGAGATCTGACATGATTATGTTAAATGGCAGAGCAGACTTGAGGGACTGAATTGCTGTCTCCTGCTCCAGTTCTTATTTTCCACCGAACTGACTTGGACGGAAAGGTGGCAGGGACAGGATACCCCATCCACTGCTAAATCCTAGCTATTATTGCAGTTGATGTATTGTCATTAAAAAGAATGTATTTTGCCATGAAGGTACTCCTTATTTTGAGCACCTGATACAGTCTGATTTCAAGAAAGCTTGTCTCATGGATTATGGCAATATCATAAAATGAAATGTTTGAAAACTGCAATCTACTAACTATAGAGCAAATATGAAATGGAACTGAGGGTAGTCACTTCAGATTAAACACCTGAATGACACAAAGCAAGAAACAGATAAAGCCAGTCTGTGCACTAATTTAATACCTTATACTTGATTGAAACATTACAAAAAGAAAATTCTGGAAGTTTGTAGCAAGATTTATTGCAATAGCCTGCATTTAGCTTATCTTCCTCTGACAGATGATGATTCTGTACGCTACTGACATCTTTCATTTTTATTTCATGTTTCCAACAAGCCTGATTTTCTTTTGCTGTTGAATTATAACAAAATGTTATTTGCATCTGATGGATGCATAACCCAAGGTGGCCAACTGATGTACAGGAAATAACCTGTGGTTTTCATATATCACTATTAGTTTGAGTTTATTATTTATTCAAACTTTCATTCTATGTTTTTAAAAACATCAAATCACACAAGGACAGAGGTGTATTTCCATAGGTTGTGCAGAGCTAATAAGAAAAAGTAAAATAAGAAATAAAATTGCGTTCCAAACAGGAGTGCAAAGTCAGAAAATTATCCTTTACATGCAAGTTTGCTCATATTGAAACTTTTTTATGTCAGTATAACTCTTAGGCTACAATTTGCTTGCATGGAAAACTGCTGAAATAACAAGATGGCAACAGAGATTCATGGAAAGATTGGAGTGGTTGGGGTTGTTCTCCTTGGAAATGAGAAGATTTAATGCAGGCATTCAAAATCACTAGTTGGAATAGTGTAGAGAGAGAAAAATGGTATTCCTGTTGTTAAAAAGATCAGAATCAAAGGGCACAAATTTTAGATGATTTGCAAAAGAACCAATCGTGATGTGAGGAAATAATCTTCTAAGCCTAAGGAACGAGTGGTAAAGATCAGGAATGCCCATCCTTAGAGTGTGATGGAGGCAAATTCAATAATGGCTTTCAGAAGGGAGTTTATAATCTCCAAAGTGATAAAATTTTCAGTGCTATGTGAATAGCAGGAGAGTGAGACTAGTTGGGACACTCATGTGGAAAGACAGCATAGACATCTTAGAATTATAGAATCCCTACTGCATGGAAGCAAGCTATTCAGCCCTTCAAGTCTACGGTGACCCTCCCGAGAATATTCCATCCAGAGCCACACCATCCCTGTAACCTTGCTTTTCCCATGACTAACCCACCCCCAGACACTAAGGGCAATTTCGCATGGCTATTCCACCTAACTGCACTTGTTTGGACTGTGGGAAGAAACCAGAGCACCCAGAGGAAACTGATGCAGACACAATGAGAATGTGCAAATTCCAATTGCCTGAGGGTGGAAATGAACCTGGGTTCCTTGCACTGTAACACAGCAGTACTAACCACTGAGTCACTGTGGCACTCCATGATGGGCCTTGTAACTCCCTTCTTTGTTGAACCTTTGCTGCTTTATGATTCTATAATTCTCAACTTTCACTGCAGTCTAATAAAGGATCACTGGTCTTCTCTGCAGGAATTTCTTTGGATCACTAGATCCACCCCCCTTTTGTGTGATCATGGCAGTCTTTCTGGAGCACTATCAGCTGTAGAACCCTCACAGTGGGATTCCACCACCAGCTCAGCCTGCATGACAAACAAAGACCCCAATTCAAGAAAATGGGTCATTGTGAAGTGCAACCAGGCAAAACATTGTATTTTAAGTTTTAAACCCTTGCAATTTCCTGAAGTGTCTTCATTCTAAAGGAATTGGAGTCGATGTTCCGTTGGGTAGTGGCGTGAAACACACAGTGACATAAATTGGACAATCCTTTGGAGCCCATTTTACTCTGCACTTCATTTTATTTTATACTTGGAGGGACTAACCAGTTCAAGTGTGAAAAGAGCTGCTGGCTTACTTTATTGTTCAAGTACTGCTGCCATGTGAGGAGCCAGTTCCCTGGATTACAGTTATTACCCAGTTCTTTAAACAAGCGATTGTTAACCATACTCAAGATTTGTTAGTGACATGTGTAAGGTTAGTCAACAACATAAAACATCATATTCAAAAACTAAGATAACAAGGTGTAGAGCTGGATGAACACAGCAGCCAAGCAGCATCAGAAGAGCAGGAAAGTTGACGTTTCGGGCCTAGACCCTTCTTGTCTAGGCCCAAAACATCAGCCTTCCTGCTCCTCTCATGCTGCTTGGCCTGCTGTGTTCATCCAGCTCTACACCTTGTTATCTCAGGTTCTCCAGCATCTGCAGTTCCTACTATCTCTGAAACATATTCAAAAACTGATTTTGTTTTATTCCTACAGAAAGCACATTAGCAATGAAAGCATTTTAAAATGATATCTGCTTAGTATCAGTAATAATTAAAATTTCACACCTTATCTTGAAGGTGATCATTCTGTTTCTTGGCATCCTGCAGCTCTTCTGCATATGTTGATCTTAGTTTAGCCATTTCGCCTCTCAGTTGTGAGGTTTCCTCATCAGCCTTCATGAGTTCATTGACAGCACTATCATTGGCCTCCTGGAGATCTTTGAGGTATCTAATTAGGTCTTCTTAAAAAAAAACAAAGTACTTTTGTTGCAATGAGGTAAAAGTTAGTAAAAATCACTACTAACGACATCGTCCAAAAACATGTCAGGTCCCATATTTACGGCTTCACACCACCACCTGCATTCAGCCTGACTACCTGACACCCTATACTGGGTGCTGAGAAATTTCCTCCAACCTCCAAGAGAAATTGGAATATATTCACATGTTGTTAAAACTTATTACCTGCCCAATGTTTGACAAATGAACATTTGCAACAGAAACAAGTTACTGCTTTGTGGAATTCTACAGTTTCACTGTGAGCCCCCACCACCAATGTCACTGTGTTTGTTTGGGCATTTTTTTCCTTTCTGATGGATTACTGTTCAAATTGCAATATTGAGAAATTTCCAATTGACTCCTCAGTTAAAGGATTCATGAACAAAATATGAGAGAGATGCATTTAAATGGAAAATTTACAGTTAAGGTAATGTGAGTATTCTTGGTTTGCCCCAATATTTTCCCTGAAATTGAGAGAAATGGACAGTTTTCCAAACATATTATACAATAAAGGTCCAACAAAATGCTCCCCTTTTGGGAATCAGGTCCCTAAAATGGTAAAAGGCAAATAGCCACAGTCTTACCAGACAATTGCAGAGAGACAACCAGTGATGGTTTAACCTGAGAGTCATCACTCCTCAGGCAAAGAGAGGGGTTGAGAAGTCTTGGAAACTTCATGCTGACCTCACCTGGTGTGGGAATTGAACCCATACTGTTAGGGAGTAGGTCTGTTTCACAAACCAGCTGCCTACTCAGCTGAGCTAACTGAACCCATCCCTGAAATCTGAATGTAGGAATTGATATTACTCATCGTCCGTGGTTGAGTTTATTGAACTTTAAAGAGGAGGAAGAAGATAAGGCGGATTCACTCCTTCACAAGGTTTGTCTGTCTGCCTCTCTCTCTCAATTTCTAAGCTTTATCACTGAGTCGGTCTCCTTAATACTGAGCCATCCCACACTTCAAAATGCTGGAAAATGCACCAAAAATAATTGTAAATTAAAATGTACAATGGGAGAGAATAGTGGGGGATTGCTGGGAGACAAAGCATCAGTTAAATTTGGAAACCTTTAGGGAAAAGATTTTGAACCATCAGAAGTCCCTTTAAATATTTACAAAATCCATTGCCTCAACAATTGTCCTTCTGAACAAATTTTTTTACTGCTTATAATTGAATTGATTTGGTATTATCCACTTCAGTGTGTACTGAATACCACTTTACATACGCTGTTTATGAGCTTATTGAGTTTGTTTTCAAAGTAAACCAATCCTGAATTACAGCATGTGACTTCGAAATGCGTATTGAATTCTGTGGCCATGAAGCTCCACAGAGACCTTTATTCAAGGTTGTTTCTGTGTCTTACATTATTCTTTTTAATTGTCAGATTTTTGTTTGAACTTGTTTGTCATCCTGGGCTTTGTGAGTTTCTGTATTTTAAAATGTTTAACATAAGAAGGAAGGTCCCGAAATCCCATGGCAATTTCAGTTCACTCCCAATCCGCAGTTAGTGGAAGAAGGTAAAGGTTGTTACACCAGGTCTCATTGTACCCCTCCCTTGGAGCTTTCATTTTGGCTGCCAGACTGGAGATCTGGACTTTGAATGTTGGGGTTTCTACACTCTACACTTTCACTGAGGTGTGGAATTTGGTCGGCAAGATAGGTTTTCCTCATTTCTGGGTGGAAATGGGAACATTCTGGGTTTGCAGAACAGGATCAAAGACTAGATTCCAAAAGATGAATTCAGTTTAAAAAAAATTAAAAATAATTCTCCATTCTACAAAACCTTAACTCACTCTAAATTTCAGTCATACCTTGATCTTTGTGCTCATTGACATGTACTGGTACTCCATCCAACAAAAAAAATAAAAATGCTCTTTTTAAATTTTTAAAAAAATTTAATGTAGTTCCTTGGCCACAGCACTCCCTGTTTCATTAGCCTCCCTGAGCCCTACAGAGTTATGAGATGTCTGTGCTCTTCCTTAAGAACATACAAAAGTATTTCTTAGTCAGATAATTCAGCCCCTCAAGCCTCCTGTTTCTCAATGAGTTCATGGCTTATCTAATGTTAGTTTTGTCAACTTTCCTCCCTACCCCCATATCCTTTGATTCTCTTGAAGTTGAAAAATTTAACTCCAATTTTGCACATATTCAATGACCCAACTGCCACTGCTTTCTGTGGAAAAGAATTCCAAATATTGATGAACTTCTGAGAGAAGAAATTTGTCATCTCCAACTTAGATAAAACATATTTTGAAATTACGTCCCCATTCTAGATTGTCAAAAGGGGAAACATCCTCTCAGCATCTTCCCTGTCAGATATGCTCAGAACCTTTACATGTTTAATTAACATTACTGCTCATTCTTCTAAACTGAAATGAGTGTAGGCTCTAACTCCTGGTTCAGTTTTCACCTCAAGCATTCCTGGTTTGAACTGTTCCACCAGTAGTTGCTGTGCTTTCATATTCCTGAAGAAAATTCTTGCCTGAAAACCCTCTGCCTTTGTAACTCTCCTCTTTTAAAATGCTCGTATTGTTTTATCATTTTTCTTGCTTTCTCCTTCCATGACTTGTCAAAAAATGTCCTCACTATTTTTAAACACTTTGAAACATTTTACCATGTTGCATGTGCTAAAACAAAGAGAAATTGTTGTCTTAGTCAGTATGTTGTAACCAGTATTGGTCAGAGCTGAAGTAGTCAATGAGATGCTCTTTTCTAAAGACTTTAATTGGAGTTCTATGTGGAATAAATGGAAGGAAATCTTACCGGTTCTTTGCTGTAGCAGTACAGGTGCAGTAGGATGAGAATCACTTGTGCCTCCTTTTACCTTGTTTTCAAGAACTTTGTTAGTCTAAGTAGTTTGAACAATAAACAAGAACACATTAAAAACTTAAAATTGCAACCAATGCATTTATTCACTAATTTCACATATTTGAACTTTTTAATTTAAATCCAAGGTCATGGTTTAAATCAAGTGGCATTAATCTTCACTGAAAATATTGGGACAATGCAAGGCCAGCAAATGGATCAGATAAATTATTTATAATTGGGCCTGTTCAGCAACATAAAATTAATGGTCAAAGCTTTATTTTTTTGTTCAGCTCTTCTGGCCAAATCACAAAGCAAGGCCTAATAGTGAATCCAGATTAAGAACCCCAACTGTCTCCCCAAAAAGTGCCCCCACACTACAGGCAGACATCGGAGCACATCTGTAGGGTTCTGGTTTGCAGTGGTAATTGGCTGGTTTTAGGTGGTTCAAATCAGCCCCAGACCCCTGATTCTACACACTGGACTTATTTAGTGAATGTGAAATGAAGAAGGCAGTAGACTGTTTCAGGGCAAAGGAATCTCTGCATTTACTTAAATACAAGAAATACAGATAAAAGCACAAAACAGTGAAATTAACACTATCAATTATACAGAGGACAGTAATTAAATACACTATTGAATTAAACACTACTAGAACCTAAACAGCAGCATTAATGACAGAAACTTTAATCAGGCTTTCTATCCTTGGGGTCCCATGCACTGTCACTGCCTGCCTTCCCCTCCCTGCTGGCTCGGTCAGAAACTTTGGGGTCTCGGAATTTTAAACTCAAGGGAGGTGATGGCCTAGTGGTATTATCACTAGACTGTTAATCTAGAAACCCAGATAACATTCTGTGGACCTGGGTTCGAATCTTGCCACAGCAAGATGGTAGAACTTGAATTCAATAAATATCTGGAATTAAAGGTCTAATGATGACTGTGAATCCATTGTTGATTGTTGGAGGAAAAACCCATCTGGTTCACTAATGCCCTTTAGGGAAGGAAACTGTCAACCTTATCTGGTGTGGCCTACATGTGACTCCAGACCCACAGCAATGTGGTAGACTCTTCACTGTACCCTGGACAATAAATACTGCCTAGCCAGTGACACCCTCATCCCATGAATGAATCTTTAAAAAAACTGAGGAATATGTTGTTTTTGAAGTACAGCAGGCCTGTGCAGACAAGGGCCATTGCCCTCACATACCTGCCTGCCACTACTGTTCCTCCCTGTGCATTTGGACAAGCCTTGCTGACATATCCTCTTAAAGACTGAGGCATACACATGGGATGGAGATAAAATATGTTGGAAAACACTTAATTGTTTCAAAAATGTTCTAAAATCTGATAAATTGTTGATGTGTATAAAATTATTTTCTGAGATCCAGGTCTGTTGTTCAATATGTTTTTTTTTAGTAATGCCAAAATTAAAAAAGTTTTTAATGGAGTTTCTCACAGTCACATGTGAGCAGGAAAGCTGAAATTCTCACTGACTTCAATGATGATTGAGTTTGGGACTCATCGCTGCACAACCTATGAAATATTGAGTGACAGACCACAACGTCAGGATTCCAATTCTAATCTGTGCATGCCCAATAACCTGGAGTTGCAATCATTTTCAGAGGTGATAACCACCTTCCCTACCCCAATAAAAATGCAGGTCAATCATTTGAAATATGTTTGGTCTTTGGTTTTTTTTATTAATTTCAAGTAAAATTTTATTATTCAATGCTTTTACTGTCAATTTTCTCCCTTTCACAGGTGACCATTGGTTAAGTCTGAAATGGCATATGCTGTTTAGCCTTTACACCTCAATTACTTGCGCCTGTGCCTTGATTGCCAGCATCAATAAAGCTATGGAAGTATCATGGATGAGTCTGCACATATCTCGAGACCCATTTCTGGCAAGAAAATGCTACATATCATTCAGGAGCAGGAACAGGAACACTTACTAATTCTGTCCTTCTTGAATTCAAATGCTGACATTTATTATTTAATTTCACGATCAGGTAAGATGAGCTAAACTGTTACATACCAGCTATCAGAGCTGGGATCTTCCTTGTCTTTATGGATTACTCTGTGGATTAACCTTTTGTATGACAGATGGGGCAAATATGTTCTTTTATTAGAAAGTGATAAATTATTAGGAAGGATGAATACTGAGTTTATTTGCAATGATATATTGCTTTAAAGTGGAATATTATATTGCTGAGCTTTCACGTGGCAGTTGCTGATATTGCCTGTGGCTGTGTTAAGAGTTCTGGCGTATATCCAGATTGCTTAATATTGTTTTTGCTGTGCCAACCACATCACTATGGTAACAGTTGGGTTTGTGCTACTTTGGGCTTCATCAATTGCAACTGTTGGGATTTATCACGTCCATGATGTGAATTTGGCTATTTGATTTAAATCTAGCATTTTAATGAGACTTTTAAAAAAATCACATTCTTTGTAGCTAAATGAAAACTGAAGATTTAATTTTATCACTTCTTGTGGTTACCTAATTGAGGTGGAGTTGCCAGTTATAGCTTGACCTGTGCCTGAACATCTTATGGTGTGACATTTAATCATGTGATAACTCATGGTGTATAATCACAGGGAATTTGCCCACTGCATGCAAGGGTTATTGCAATTACTATGGTCAAGTGTTTCATTATCACCAAGCCCTGAAAAAATAGATGACGATTTGTTTTATAATGAGCCTACTAATGTAATTTATACATCAAAAGAGGACCACTAAAGAAAAGAAAGATTTAAGAATAATCATGCTTAAATTAAAATAATGTTCGACATATCAACCACACTGATGAAGCATATCTAAAACAAGCAGAATTCACATGTTTAACTGCTAGCTAAGATTTTCATGCAAAGGTGCTACAATTTAACGACTAGGACAAGGAGGTTTGACAGCTCAACTTTACATAATCGGAAGTCACATGACACCAGGTTATAGTACAACAGATTTGAATGAGTTGGGGAAATTATTGACTGTGCGAATGCTTTGAAATTTAGGAGGGTGGCAGTGGGGGTGGGGTACCGAGTTCAGCATCGGTACATTGTAAGGCTGCATGTACTCAGTCGATCTGAATCTGCTGGAATGGATCTATCTGAGGTTTCCCGAAGTCAGTGAGCGGCTGCAAGCACCCTGAGGCTATTGGGCTCCTTGTCCTTTGAGAATGCCAATTTATCTGCGCTTTGCTCCTTCTGTAGCTCTGTCTGCAAGGCACAACAGGCCACCATCATTCTCAACACCTTTGGTGATGCAGAACGGAGATGCTCCAGATCCAGTTGTGAAACTTTAGAATTATTTGTCCCCAAGGGTTGTCGATGCTCCGTTACTAAGTATAATTTGTGGCTGTGATAGATATAATTCTTCTCTCAGGGATTCAGAGAACTGGGCAGGAAAGTGGAGTTGACGTAGAATATTGATCATGATCAGATTGAGTACTAGAGCAAGCCCAAGGAGCCATTTAGTTTAGTCCTGTTCTCACCCATCAGGTTCTTCTTTTTCCACAACTGTGAAAAACAAAGCAATAGAGATAGTTGACAATTCAAACAACCTTAATAGCTTAGATGTCTAGCAGATGTTCTCTGGCAAACAGACCACCAGGTATATTATTTCTCAAACAATGGAGCAGGTTTTCCATCTGAATTGTTATGGGATGTGTCTTTAATGTGTCATGTTTCTTTTGAAAGCCAGTGTTGTAAACTTGGAGACGAGATGTCTGCTCTGAGCCAGCAACGTTGCTAGCTTAGAGATAGTAAGAACTGCCAACGCTGGAGTCAGAGATAACACAGTGTGGAGCTGGAGGAGCACAGCAGGCCAGGCAGCATCAGAGGAGCAAGAAAGTTGACATTTCAGGTCGGGACCCTTCTTCAGAAATGTTGCTAGCTTTACTTTTTTTAAAAACAGATGAAAGAAGCATGAGAGGGTGGGGTTAAACTCCCTTGAACCAGGATTTTAGGATAGCTTTCAGAAGCTGGTGCAGTTTGAAAGTTGCTATTTCTCTTTCCCTGCTACAGCAAAAGGCTGGAGTTCTCTTTCTCTCACTCTCTCTCTCTCTCAGAATTTTCTCTTCATGTTCTTTACACCTGGACTGGAGAAACATTTGATGTGAGATAATCTAGTTTAGTGAACTTGCCTCTGCCAAAGGTGTGTTTATGGGACTTACTGTCTTAGAACAGCTAATCAGTGGTAATTATATATATATATTATCTTGTGAAGTATTTTGATTGAATTACAGTTAAGCAATTTTTTTTATTTCTTATTCTGTCTGTGTTCTAACTATAGTGTAAGAATAAAGGATGCATTGCTTCAAGCCTGGCTGTTTGGCCAGTCAAATTGCATCTAGAGTGCTTCACCTTACATTTGCCTTTCAAAAAAAAGGTCTAAGTTATCTTCTTAATATATTTTGAGGGAGTTTGGTCTGATCTGTAATAGAATATATGAGCAGCAGTGTTCCTCCACAATACTAAAGATCACTAGCTAGATGGCCTTTGCTGATTTGTATCATAAAATCGTGGATGAGGTCTGCCATAAAGGATTCCAAATGCAAATGGTCTCCCGAAAACCTGAAATAGGTAAGTACTTAGTCTCTCATCCCAAGATGCTATTGAAGATGACAGTGATTCAACTACTCATTGGATAAATGAGTAACCTTGGTGGGTAGCGATGCTTTATCTTGACTATCTTACTTCTCTTTCTGATTATTGAGAAGGTCCAATTAAAAGCTGACAATACAATACCTCTGTTTTGAAGCTCATAATTTGTTCAACTCCTAAGTGTTCAAGTACAAAAAGCTTTCTTTTTGTCGTGGAGTAATTCTTTGTCACCGATGTAGCATTGCCAATTGACTCTCCAATTTATGCTGCAATCTTATAATCTGGATGTTGTGTTCTTTCAATGAGACAAGCAAGTCTTGCAATTATAATTGTAAATCAGTACAAAGCCAACCGTAATTTTAAACCTACTCATAAAGTATAAAATATATGCAAACCTTTATTTGTTTATTTTTCATGTCACTCACAATCATTTTCGATTTAATTTTCTGGCAGTACAACATCAGCCAACTACTAATGAAGCATTTGTATTTGAGGGGTATGCAAACAGCAGTCACTCTTACTTGTTTAGTCAGGGTACAGTAAGGCTATATTTGAAGTGTAGTTACTTCACAACTACACAGATAACCTGTGATGCAATGATTTCGCTAATGCCATATCAGAATTTTTGAATGTCATATTTTTGAAACTCATCTTGATAAATAAATTGCTTACTCCTCATGACTAGCAGTCTGCTGGAAGTTCTTCCCTTTTCTGTCCCACCTGAGTAAATTCATTGGCACCAGCTGACATTTCCCACCCGCCATTCTTTTCTGAAATACTCCCCTCCCTTTCTTTGTGACCTTTTGCAGAGCCAGCTGAGAGCCTGTGCCTAGTGTGATGAGGTTGGAGTCGAATAGGAGACAGGTGCCAATGTGCAGATCAGCAGTGGAGTGGATTACATTTGCAGGGCCCAGGAAAAGCATTCCTGCTGATTCCCACAAACTAATTTGCTGTTTGTTCCGACTTACCTCCAGTGGTCCCGCTAAGCCACTCAACATTTTTATGACACAGGTAAGAGTCATGAAGTACTGTATGAACATTTTCTACCTCTAATTCCAAAATGTGTGTTTTTTTTTTAAAAGAGGGTTGATACAACCAAAAATGGCTGTGGATGTAAATTAAGTGGCTGTCTGGCAAGAGAGACTCATGGAATGTCATTCCTGACAATGTGATGAGAACTTGAAAGGGGGAAGAGGCAAGTCATATCAGACTGCACTGTGATATTTTGTGACAACAAAGATAGCAGGAAGCTGATGATCTCCCATGCTACGGTAAGTCACATCCTCTGATCATGCCCCAAACTACAAACACATTTTATGTTCTCCATTTTGAAGAATATAACAGGACAGGGGTTAAAAAAAATCAGTTTCAACTTTAATAATAAGCTCACACTTTATTAACTCAAGAAAGACTGGATATATTACCTACTTTTAAAACCCAAGTTAACTTAGGAGGAGAAAGGTATCCACAAGGGAAGGGATCTATTTTTAAATTAATCTTGTTGCAACAAGTGAAGAGGCAAGAGAATAAAGGAGTGGAGCCAGTTCAACCCTCTTCACCCAGGAGCTTAACAGTTTGGGGCATCCCATTGGGAACCATAATAAATTGGCAAACCATGCCCAGGATCTGGGCATAACAATGTTAATGGGAAAGGAATATGTGGCGAATAATCTACCGGTCATTCCACTTGGTATCCAATGTGTATTAAGGAACTAACTTTCACAGTGATTTTTTAGAAAGAGGTGGTTTCAATTAAGCACGTTTAAGGAGACACTTACTGTAACTGGGTGGTTCAGTTAGGACATGTATGTTGTCATGTTTCACTCTGTAAATTAATGTATGACTCAATAAAGAGTGACTTCAGTCTTATCCTTCATCAACTAGCTTTTCGAAACAGAATATGTGCACTCCCCATTGAGACCGAATGTACACAACAATATGAGACACTAATATTTCATTCTCTTGAATTGCTTGAACTCTGATTCAAACAGAAAGTGTAAAAATGCACATATTGTGCATTTCTAATGTTTTAAAATGATATCTTCTCCCCATGTATGAAGTTTGTATTTACACAGCTGTACCTTACGAGTAGAGAAATCAATGACTGAAAACTTACCTTATCGTGAAGTCTTTTATTTGTTGACATTACTAAGCACTGTTCCTCTAATAATTGCTTGTTGATGAGCTGAAGTTTCTTCATTTCTTTGTTGAGCTGATTGAGATCCTCATCTTTTTCAGTAAGAAGGGCTCTGAGAAGAGTCACATGGCTGCCTTGGGTTGCGTCCATCTCTGTAGCCTGAAAGCAAAAGAAAATGTATCCAACTTCTCATAAAACAGGTTTTAAAACTTCTTTTGATAATTATGTACCATGTTTCTAGAAATTGTTGGATCCTTACTTTTATTTAGTTCAATATATCATGAATTATTGGTAACACTCTCATCCCTGAATCAAAAGATTCATTATTGGATGAGGTGTGAAACAAAGGCTTTGTTTCTCTGTAGGATCACTGAAGCCCATGGAATCAAAGGGAAGGAGTTAGACTGGGTACAATGTTGTTTGAGTGACAGGAAAATGTAGTGAACAGCTGTGACATGAGGAAAAGTGTTTTTTTTTAAACAGAACAAGTGGAAATGATCTGAGGTTGTAATGGAAGCAGATACAATAGGATCTGAAGATAAACTATTTGCAGAGCTAAGAGAAAGGAACAGCAGAGTGAAATCATTTGAGTTGCATTTGGAGAGCTGACAGAAACACAATGGGCTGAATCCTTGCTATAATCATTCCACGATTCCAAAATGCAAAATTGGCAGTTCAAAGAGCAGGAGGGTTTTCCCAGAATCCTGGCTAACATTTATCCTTCAAAAAACATTTAAAAAAACACTTATTAATTGGGCAATTGTTGTTTGTGGAACGCAGCAGTGCACAATTTGGCTGTGAACATGTTTCCTTCCATAGTATGAATACACTAAGAGAATTCTCTGCTCTTTTTTATGATTGTTTGTACATGCAAATAGATGTTGTTTTGATATAAAAGATGGTACATCCTGTAATGCAATGCTTCTTCAATGACACACTAAGGTGTCAGCTGAGATTGTGTACACAAGTCTTGGACAAGACTGGAGCCCACAGTGTTGTGATTCAAGAATAAGTGTTACTATTCAGCTAAGCTGACATCAGTATTGAGCATTTTGTTCAATGGCAACGATTAACAATTTGTCAGATGTGCGTCAGCTATGATTTTTATATGACACATGTATTAGCTGAATCTGCCTGAAAGGATTCATCTTATAAAGATAGTTTTAAAACTTAACATTCATGGAAAAGAAAAACGCGAAAAAATTCTGGAAGTTTGTAGAGGGCAGCTTTAAACCAATGTATTGTGTTTGGATCAGCCAACTTCAAAAGTGAAACACAAAATCATAGAAACGTAAGTTCTTATAGTACAGAAAACTATCCATCTCTGCAATATCTCAAAGATTGATAATGGGGTATTCAGTAATGAAAATGCTATTGAATGCCAAGGGCAATGGTTACACTATCCCTTGGTCCATGTCATTTGTGCCATAAGACCATAAGACATAGGAGCAAAAATTAGGCCATTCAGCCCATCGAGTCTGCTCTGCCATTCAATCATGGCTGATAAGTTCCTCAACCCCATTCTCCCGCTTTCTCCCCGTAACCCTTGATCCCCTTGATAATCAAGAACCTATCTATTTCAGTCTTAAATGTACTCAATGATCTGGCTTTGTGCTTTGATTGCAGTTTATTGTTGGAGATAGCCTGAATGTTGTCCCTACCTTGCTGCATATAGACAGGGAATTCTTCAGTATCTGAGGGCTTGTAAATGGTGCAATCATCAACAAAAATGATTACTTTTGACCTCATGATGGACAGAAAGTTATTGATGAATCAGGTAAAGATGGCAGGGTCTACGACAATATCCTGAGGAACTCCTGCAGTGGTGTCCTACCAACTAGAATGATTGACTTCTCGTGACCACAAGCATTTTTCTTTGTACCAGGTATGATTCCAACCATACAGAATTTTCCACCTGATTCCCATTGACACTGGTTTTACAAGGATCCCTTTATTCCAAACTTGATCAAAACGTATTATGATGTCAAGAGCAGTTACTCTCACATCATCTCTGGAGTTCAGCCCTCTCATCCAGGTTTGATCAAAGGCTGCAATTTTGTTAGGAGCCAAGCAACCCTGGCCCAACGCAGACTGACTATCATTGAGTAGGTCATTACTGAACCAGAACAGCTTGGTAGCACTGTTGATGACAGCTTTTTTCACTTTGCTGATGATTGAAAGCAGGCTTGCGGGGCAGTAACTGGCCAGGTAGGATTTGTTGTTTTTGTGTACATGACATACCTGGGAAATTTTCCACATTTCCAATGTTGTAGATGTACTGGAACAGCTTGGCTAGGGTCACAGCTAATTCTAGAGCACAAGTCTTTAGTACTATAGCCAGAACTGATTGTTGCCGGACTATTGTCAGGACTCATAGCCTTTCTGGTATCCAGTGCCTCCAACAGTTTCTTGATATCATGTAGGGTGAATGGAATTGGTTGAATATTGCAATGTATAGTACTGGGGACTTCAGGAGGAGGTTGAGATGGATCAACCACTCAGCACTTCTGGCCTAATATGCTTGCAAAAGTTCAGCCTCATCTTTTGCACTGACATGCTGAGTTTCTCCATAATTGAGAATGGAATTATTTGTTAACCCACTTCTTTTGTTGATGTTTAATTGTCCTCTATAATTCTTGGCTGAATGAGGCAGAACTGCATTGCTTAAACCTGATTCACCAGTTGTGAGATCACCTAACTTTGTCTATTGCGAGCTGATTATCTGGTTTGGCACCCAATGTGGCTTTAACAGGCAAACACCTCAGTTTTACATATGCCTGGTGCTGCTCCTGGCATGCCCTCCTGTACTTTTCATTGAAGCATTTTCATTGCCGTGAGACTTCGTGAGAATCAGACCCAATATTGAATGCTCCCAGGGCAATTCCTAACCACTAGTACACCACTGTGCCTCGATCTCTGGTGGGTATATCCTGCCAGTGGGACAGCACATGCTAATACTTTGCAGTTAAGTTCTGATTCCAGACAAAAATTAGGTGGGGGGAGGGGCCAGGATAGAGCCCAAAGAGAGAGAAGAACAGGTGAACAGACAAAGGAATGGATAATGATCCTGCTAAGAGGGTGAATAGATGTTGATGGAAACTGTTAGTGGATAACAATGGGTGGTGTGTAATGGCAGACTATGTGATAACAAGGCCTGGTGTGTGGGGTATGGGGATAGGACATGGGAGATTTCAGGCCTTAAAATGATTGAATTTGATATTGAGTTCAGAGGGCAGCAGGTATCCCAAGCAAAAAATAAGATGCTGTTCTTCAAGATTGCACTGAGTTTCGCTGGAACACTGCAGCAAGCCTGAGACAGAGATGTTGGCCAGGGAACAGGGTGGTGTGTTCAATAATTTTAGGGTGTTGCTGCGAAGTTGGGTAGAGTATTTGTGGATTGGAAGGCAAGGCTTTCGAATCTGGTGTTTGTAAAATATTGGTGTTTGTAAAGTGCGAGGAATAAAGCAGTGCATGGTCCCTTTAAAAGATAATATGCTTTTTCTATGCTCAGAGATTCAAGAAAAGAAGGATGTCTGTGAGCAGCTTGTGGGTTTGCAGGTACATACAAAGCACTTGAATTGAAACTTTTGTATCAAAAAGCTGTACAGTTAGCAGGCCAACCAGAACTTTTGTTCTATAATCAAGACAACAAGTTTTAAATTTAGCCAATTAATTTGAACCAGGCATCCAGATACCAAAAAGCAATTAAATTTAAATCTGATGATTTTGACAACATAAGGCCAATTTTATTGTAAGAAATTGATATATCATCAAAGGTATAAAAGAAGGGGCACTTGGGCAAAAAACAGGACAGTGAACTGCCATTTGCAAGAGTTAACAGCTCTCAGCTCTTGAGAGAATTGTTAGCTTTCACAGGCTTCTCTAAGTTTTAGAGAAAGCACCATCTAAATCAAAGGTACTTATGGCACTCCTAGTTAAGATTCATGACAGAAGACTTCACAGACAAAGCATTCCTGACAGACTATTCGATGGAGGAGGCACAGAACATTTCGGAAGACACATCACCTGGCTGTAATTTTGAGACTCAATTCTTCTTCTTTTTATTTTATATAAGTGGGAGTTGTATTTATTAGAACAGCATACCATTAGAATTTTGTTTTATTCAGGAATATTTGGTAATCAGAAAGGGTTTATTTAGCTTGTTAAGAATTTGGTTAGTTTGTTCACTGTTAGAGTTAGATAAATAAATTGTTACTTATTGATTGTAAAGCGACTGTCAGGGATTTATTTTATTTAACCACTAGAAATTGCTGAAAAGACAGGTTACACCACTTTTCACACTCTTTTTACAGATTATAAAGTGAGGTTCTCCTCTCTAGGAGTTTCAGTTTTAGTTATCAGAAGTGGGGGTGGTCAACCTCTGCTTTATAACAGGCCTGAACTCTCCCAAGCCCTAGCCTCCTAGCCCACACACTAAGCCTTGTTATCAAACAGCCTGCCATTACACACTACCTATTGTTAGTCACGAACAGTCTCCATTAACAGCTATTCACTCTCCTGGCCAGATTGTTATCCACTTCTTTTTCTGTCCCTGTTCTTCTCTCTCTTTGGGCTCTATCCCCACCTGTAGTTTTCTCTGGAACCCATCCCCAACCCAATTTTCTGCACATAAAACAACATTTTCCTTGCTACCATCAGTTCTGAGGAAGGGTAACCAAACGCGAAATGTTAACTTTGATTTCTCTTCACAGATGCTGCCAGACCTGCTGAGCTTTTCCAGCAACTTCTGTTTTTGTTCCTGAATCCATGTGTGTCTGGCTGTTGCTTCACTAATCTGTAGGACATATCTTCCAATTAGGCACAAGCCTCTGAACATTACGAAGGAGCACCTCGCAGGGCTTACAGGGCCGGATTTACCCTTGTCGTTTCCAGTGCCTAAACTGATACTAAGAGATCTGCTCAGTTTAGTTCCTCTTAGACTTCATAGCAGCTGGTCACAACTGAAAAGCTTGTTCAGTCATTTCAGTATCAATCTCATTGCTGTTGGTCTGGAGTCACGAGAGGGCCAGACCAACTAAATGTGACATTCCTGTGATACTGCAGTCAAACGTTTTTGAAAAAGAGATGCACCAAAAGCCTGTTGAGAAGGGGGATATTATACTGGCATACATTAAGCAATTGGATGAGGTGAGAGGAAG